AGACCATGAACCTCTCCCAATTTCTTATGAATAAAGAATCATAATTACTCATGAGGAAGAGTCTTCATGGTGTACCTGGATCTTTCAACTCCAGGAAGACATGGTTTTCCTGAAGATGACCTTGTTTCAATTGGTTCAAGGGTTCTCACCCAGTCCCTCCTCCTCTTTCCAAAAGAGCAAGCACTCTCATGTGGAAGCAACAGGAACATTCAGCTGAGGTGGAGGTGCAAAGGGGGTGGGGAGGTGGGGGAAGCTTTGAGGTTATGATGAGTTATATTTCTATAGTTTGATAAGAGAGAAAAGGAATCTGTGTCCTGCCTGATTTCGGCTCTGCTGGAGGGCACACTGAAGGGTATTCGGAGAAGCAAGATTTAGGGAAGAGGAAAGAAGAGTCATGGTCTTATTTTTTATTACCCCTTACCCCCCCACTTTCTTACCAGATCTCACACTTGCTGCAGGATAAATAAAAGCTGCCAAAGTAAGCTGTGAGTCCTTCAGGCCTTAAGATACCCAAGTAATACTGGCATCTAAATAAATGCATATAACTTCCTGCTTTCAAGATCAAAGAAGCATCAGAGCACAGCAGCAAACCTGAAGCAACTCTGCCACTTAAAAGTTCTTTATAACCCATTGCTGTTCTCAAGTTTATAGCCTACCACCCATGAATGACATACACAAGTACGTCTGTCCTAGAGTAACAGCTAATTCTGAGGTGAAGCTGCAAAGTGAGGCAGGTCACATGCTTCCTTTCTATCACCTAAGCAAGACCTGGAACTACCGCAGCGTGTGTATCAGCTCACTTTCTGGTGCCTGCTGGAACCACAAAGGGATTGTTACTGCACATACAGTGTAAAGGGAGAGTAAGTTCCTTTAAGGTACCGGAAACCCAAGTGCTGAAGTGAAGCACAGGAAACAGCCTTCCTGGGATAGCAAGAGTTACACAGTGGCGGAGTGGGAAGCACAGGCAATGAGGATGGCAGTCATGGTAAGATAAAATCCAGAAAGCAAGCGGATTACATGCGCAAGGACTATCATCCTGCTTGAATGGTTATTGCTTGGTGAACTTGATAATGAAACGATCACAACAAATCACAAATGAGGAGAGCTATATAAAAGCATAATACAATAAGCTGAATAGAGGTAAACACTGATAATTCACAAAGAGCTCATGCTAGCAGTCACACCTCTCTGGTCTCATGCCAGTTGCCTTTGATGCTGTAGGCCCTTTTATTACCAAATTTCAGGTATGTCTATATTATACAATATTGAATTTTGAAATTTATGAGTTATGTCATAAGGGAGAGTCATCAATTATAAAGTAAACCTTATTCTGGCTTCTGAAAAGAGGTTTTTCCCACTAAAGAGGGAAAATACACATCTCGTTGAGATCAGAAATCAATTCCTGGGATAAACAGACTTGTCTATAAAAACTAGGAGAATGTCTAGTCCTGACCTAGTCCATATAGTAAATTTTAAAGATACCATGATACATTTCTGAGACTGCTGCTTACTTTCTATGCTTTTGATGTTTTTACCTTAAAAAGCATGTATTAAAAAAATTCCCTTGCCATATATAACGTATCTCCAGCCCATGCCACCAACTCCTACTAACAATAACCTATTATTAGCCACAACTTACTGCTTAGTATCCTAAATACAGTTTTCTTGATATTCTAGGTAGCCTGTTGGGTTAACTGTCTACACTTTAAGAAACTGAACAACAAAATAGTGTTTTCTCTTCACCAACCCAGCAGACATCTCCCACAGTAATGTGAAGATATGGACTTTTTGTATGTTGTGATCACTGATGATTTTCCAGTTGGTAGAACAATGGTTGGCACAAAAGACTCTTTCCCAAAGAAGTTAGTCATATGGATCTGTCTATACATATCCAATGGCATTATCAACCCATAACCAACTCTGTGCTAGGTTCAAAAGGGATGATCACTGAGAGCACTGATTATAAGGTGGTTTTTCTTAATCTGGAAGGACAGCCAGTAATAACTAAGCAGGTTAAAGAATATATTAGAAAAGGTGCCAAACTAGACAGATGGAAAGTGGAATCAGGGCGTTATGAAGCTTCAAAGTACCAAGAACTCATGGATAACAGGCTTTGTGATCAAGGATCGTAACGAGAAAGAAAAGATAATTACTACAGAGCTGGTTGCAAGGACAGACTTTTTTCACCATCTTCCCTGAAGCATAAAGAAGAAAGCAATGTGTTAAAGATAAAGAAACATCACTATAAAATACTTAGAATCTTTAAATGGCACACAAAAGCCCAGCAAGAGAAAGCAGGAAGGGAGACAGACTGGTAGGACCTGAGAGCTCTTGCCTTTAGTTAGATACAGGTGTATCTAACTGTTGTTACTTTTAACATGGTTATCTGATAACCTGGTGTCTGGCTGACACAGTTTCTACACCCAATCATTACATCTAAAAGGATAACTCTCCCTGCAACTATAGTCTCTCAGGTCTCACTGCTTGAATTTCAAATACCCAAGCAGTCTTTCCATTGACCCTGTCTCATTTTCTGTTTCTCCTGCTGGGTGTTAAAAAGCACTCAATTAAATACATTAGCATTATGATAGATAAGTACTCTCCCGTTTATAGTTCAAAGTTAATGTAGACAGCCCATTTCCACATCCTAAACATATAACCCTTGCCCCTCTACAAAAATGTCTGCAAGTATATGGAAAACAAGCAACCTTTGAACATAAAAAAAGCATTAAGCCAAGCCGTGCTTTCAAAACCGTTATATATTTTGAGAGCGTAGAATAACGCACCTAAAACTAGTAAGCCTCTCATACCTCTCCTCCTGTTCTCCCCCATATTTGCTTCAAATCTACTTTTTTGGGATTTATTCACCATGGCTTACATGATTTATTCTGAAAATCACTTTCAACAGAAGCTAGGGTCTCTTAGACCGAAAAAGAAGTAATAAGATTTATTATTTATAACTACTTTTATTTGAATGACAGTGTACTATCACCTACCTTTAAGAATTTATTGAGTAATCTGAAGTCATATCTGTCGCACTGTATTGTACAAAATGCCCTGCTTTTCTCCCTTTACTTACACATTTTGTGCTACCTAACACAGAGCTGACATGCCGCATTCATCTGTAAAATACTTGTCTCCTACTATCAATGTCTTTTTTATCTTTCTAGCCGGACGAATAAGTGCTGTAAAAGTGCCAAGGAGTTAATATGCTTAGTCCAGCCTAATCTAACCAGAGAAGTTATGGATGCACGTGCTCCAATATCAAACATGCGTGGAAAACTACCAACTTAGAAATGCCATTATTCTTTGTTAATTAATATCCCTGGACTAGTGGTAATTGTGGCTTAAGGACCTCTGAACCACACTCAGAAACAGTGATGGCATTAGCACATGCATTAAAAAAGCACTCATAACCACATCAGAAGTTTGAGGTCTTAACAGAGAAGATCTTTATCCAAACATTAGCACAGGCTTTCTACTTTAGTTTTGTTTTTTAAATTTTTATTTCAGTATTACACGTATTGCCTTCCTACTATGTGCTGGGTAAGCACCGGCTAATGGAGGGAAACAATGTGTGCTTCCCAAGTACTACTAACTGTTCTCTGCAAGATCTTATTTGATTTTACAATCTTAGAAAATGGGCATCATATTAATCTTACATATGAGGAAGAGGGCGAGAGAGGTTGGGTGAGTAGTATTTTTTTCTTAAAAAAAACTGGGAAATCCCAATAACCATGTTTAAAAAACCATTTTTTCACTTGCATAACTTTTGGTCTTTATAGGATAAAAGTTTTATCACAGTAACTGCATCAGAACTACTTTTGAAACTACTAATCTTATGGGGTTAAATGATATTGGCAATAAAGGATCCATGATGACATTCTAGCACCTTTCCAACTGATGGTTTAGGTTTAACCGAGAAGAAAAGGTTCCCAACTACTCTGAAAAGGAACAGAAACAGGATATATTTTTTACCTGCTGCCAGGATCTCAGTGCATGACGGTCAGGAGCTTTCTGTCACTTCTAACTCTAGAGCTAGGGAAGTACTGAATGGGACTACTGGGTTTAACTGTTAGCATTCTAATGCCACAGGATTGCTTTGATATCAAATCTACCCTTTGGAAGATATTAAGGGACAAAGAAACAATTCTATCACAAAGGGAGTGTGAAGTTTCTAAAAACCTATTATTATTTCTCCATCTTTTATCATAATTAACAGAGACCCAAACTTCTGAGGGTAACAGTAGTTCAGCCAAGCCTCTAAGTAGATGATAAACAAAGAGACAAATGAAAATGAACTGCGTGAACATTAGATCCAAGCAGCAGAAAACAAGGACGAGGAAGGAGTAAAGGTGTTACACACAAAGAGCCAAGCAGGGCGTACTCAGAAATCGGGTCCTCCTGCCACCAGGTTTGAATGTCACCTGCTCAGATGCACAGTTAAACTTCGCACAGCCTGTGAGAGGGGAAAAACAGGGAAGAACAGAGAGAAGAGACAGAACACAACTACAAGATGTTAGAAACTTGAGGCTGGAGTGGTGAAATGCACTAAGATGGCACACAGAAGAACAAGCTTCTAGGGAAAAGTCAGCTCTGTAGCACAGGAAATATTAGGCCTCAGTTCCCTTCATCTGCAAAATGTTGAAGCTTTTCTCAGTGGGAGTGATGCTCGCTTAGTCTGCACCTCTACCAAGCAAGCACATTCATCTTGTGAAGAGAGAACTTCATCTCTAATTTGAATGACACTGTGGCAAAAGCACCTAGGCTAGTTATCTGTATGTTGTTTCATTTTTTACTACCCAGACACCCAACTCTCTTTTCAAGTTTCATTACGTTACTGGAGGTCTTTTCAATTTTCATTACGATGTTACTGGAAGTCTTTTCCTCAACAGTAATGCTTTGAGTGATCACTAGGAAACCAAACTGTATTTGGAAAATACATTATGGGTAGAAAACTGAACTGCAGGGCTGTTCAACCTTAGTGTTGTTCCCAGACTTGAAGGTCAAAAAAGTACACATTGGCCAAGCAAATCCATTACCTTTCAGAAACTGCTAAAACTTGGTTTTAGAATGGTTGTAAAAATCTCAGTATAGTAGTATTAAAGCACTGAGATCCAAATCCCAAATCTCATATATATCACAGGTTGACTTTTTGCTGTAATCACTTGAAAAAAGGTGTTTTAACCTGATGGGAACAATGAACCCTCCCTATTTTCCCTTTTCAGCACCAAAGATTGATTCACAACCCTAAAATACACAGAGTGTGTTCTAGTAAGCTGGTCTTCCAACCCACCTTAAACAAAAAGTTACTTTTTAGGCTTTGTCCCAGCCATGGCAATATCTCCATTTAAATGTTTTTTGGGTGATGGCTGCTTTAATTTCTTACCTTGACCTGGAGCAGAAAGGCTTGGTACTGAAATGGCACCATCACTGGTAAAAGCTGAATAGAGGTTGTCACTGGAGGGAGATGGCTTAAGGGGCTGTAACAGTTGATTCTGCCCAGTTTCTGGGATATTCCCAGGTGGGTGGAGGGTCTGTTGAGGGTGCAAGACTGAAGATGCACTCTGACCAGTAATGTTACCTGACAAAGATAAAGTGGTATGAGGAAACACATACAGCTTCCCAATGTTCCATTTAGTGAATAACAGTGGTCACAAGTTATAGATGATTAAAGATCAAAGGCCTCACTGACAGGGGAAAAATGAAAATAACATGAGAATCAAAAGTTAATGGGGCTACATCCCAAAAGATGATTTTAATTTTAGATAACCCAGGTGGCTCATAGTCTGAGGTGAGTGAACATGCAGCAGACAGAAGAGAATTTCATTTTGTAATTTCTAGATTCCTTTAGTTAAGTCCTATTATAAAACAGTTGGATCATGACACAAACTGATTTCATAGGCAGTCTCTGCTTAGTCTTTCTTTAAAGTATGCATCAAATTATGCACAAAAAAGTCAAAAATTTTGGAGGTGAGGCCCTCCTTGATGGCGCAGTGGGTTAAAGCACAACACTAAGAAGCTAAAGCCACTTCAGCATGATCCTCACCCCGGAGGTGACCCACATGGCGTCGCAGACCTCTCCTGACCGGCCCACTGCTCCCCTTAGCAGTTTACTTCATCAATCAACCAGTTCTGCTCCCCACTTTGTCTCTGGTGAATCCTCTCACTGCCCCTGCACCTCTGGCTTGTACCCTAGTTCTATATGCATAAATAAATAAATCTTTAAAAAAAATTATGTAGGTGACTATAGAGTAACTCATCTTTTTCTATTTTTCATTGTATATATACGTACTTTAAAATATTTATTTGTGCATACAGAATTGGGGTACAGGCTAGAGGCTCAGGGACAGCGAGAGGCTTCACCAGAGACAGAGTGGGGAGCAGCAGGTGGGTCAGGAGAGGTCTGCCACGCCATGTGGTCACCTCCGGGGCAGGCGGGAATCGAACTCATGAGGAAGTGGCTTTTAGATTCTCAGTGCGGTGCTTTAACCTGCTGCGCCACCAGGGAGGGCCCAGCTTTCAGTGGTGTTTTAACCCACTGCGCCATCAGGGAGGGCCTCATTGTATATTTTTTAATGAGGTAAAAATAGTTTCACATTATGTATAATTTGAAGGTAAAGGTTAATTTTCTTGGTAGATGGCTTTCAAACACTAAGTGTCTTGAAATTGATTTTGCTGTATAATGAAACAGTTCATACAAAAAGTATGTCAAAGTTGGGATCAGAATCTAAATTGGTAACTATTCCTTAGAATCACCTCTCTATGAAGGAGTTGGTCCTAATGTGCTAAAGGTAAAGATCTGGGTCTTTGAAAAGTTTACAGAGAATGGAGACGTGGGAAGAAGTTTGTTACTGCTCTCCACCATACTTAACACTGAACCTGGAGAGCAAATGAGGCATACACTTAATTCACCCTTTTCTACTTTACAACTAGTTATCTATTAGCATTACATAACTTCACCGAAGAGTAAAGATACTCACTGCAATTAAAATAGACAAACTATTATTAACAAGAGAGTATTAAAGTATTTCTCTGATTACAACCACTAGCAAGTTTTTTATTTGATACAGAGAAACCAAATAAAAACTTGAATCAAGGTATCATTTAAGACATATCCAAGTATGTATCTATGAAAATCTACATTCATGCCAGTTGAAATTATGACCAATTCATCCATTAAAAGGAAGAAACTATGTGAACTTTACTAAATAAAGAATTTATTTTTTCCACCTGTCCATGAGTTTGGTGAATACGTTTTATATGAGGTGCCAAGCACAGCTGAAATATTTTACCCTTAAGAACTATAAACACAGGCCCTCTCTGGTGGCGCAGCGGGTTAAAGCACAGCACTGAGAAGCTAAAGCCACTTCCGCATGAGTTTGATTCCCGCCTGCCCCGGAGGTGACCACATGGCATGGCAGACCTCTCCTGACCCACCCGCTGCTCCCCTCAGCAGTGTACTTCCTAGATCTGCCTGTTCTGCTCCCCACTCTGTCTCTGGTGAAGCCTCTTGCCGCCCCTGAACCTCTGGCCTGTACCCCAGTTCTGTATGCACAAATAAATAAAAATAAATCTTAAAAAAAAAACAAACAAAAACTATAAACACAGACTATCAGTAAATAGTAATATGGACCACAATGGAATCAGTCATTATACTTACCCTGTTTACTTCCATAGACTCAAAAAGAGGTACTATAAATACAGGAGTAGAGAAGTCAAGGAAGCAAGAATATTAGGAAAGTTAAAGTCCTTTGAAAAATGGCAAATATTTAAGTAAAATATAAAGTTGAAAACAGAGACAAAAGATAGAATTTTATGGCTGACTCGGTCCAGGACTCTTTACCTGAAAGCTGGGGGCTTTTATTCCCCAAAGAACTGCTGCGACTAGATTTGCTGCCTTTGCTTTTAGTGGGTCGCCTTCTTCTCCCGGAAAGGGGAGCAGCTGGGGGAATAATGACAGCAGGGGGAACCTTGCCCAGTTTGGTATACAAAGATTCAATTTCATGTTTCTGGCGACTCTGTAGGTCTTGAATCTCTTTAAGGTGTCTACAAAAATAACCAAACATATTAAAAAATATTACAACCATATTTTGTTCAACTAAGCATCAACAATAAATTCTTTAACCTCCATTCAAGTATTTATTTATTCATGAATCTCTCCCACATATGTATTAGAAATTTAACTTCTAATACACTGATATTCTAATTTGTGAACTCATCTTGGTTTCTACTACCCAAATCAAATTCTTTTCTCTTTTCTCCCTCACTTCAATTCTAATAAGCTCCAAGCTAACAAGATGTGGTTGAACTGTCAGGGGAAAAAGACTTTCTGACTTTTGAAGCAATATACAGGAGTACTGAATTTACTACTTTGATCTAATTTGTAAAATGTGACCTACCTATGCCATCAATGGATTCATTCGGCAGACTAGTCAGTAGTCTCAGTAACAATAATACTTAAAAATTTATAGAATTAAAAATGTGATGAAGCCCCATGTGTATTGCTGCTTTATTTACAATTGGAAAGACATGGAAACAACCCAAATGCCCAAAAGTGGATGACTGGATTAAAAAGATGTGGTACATATACACAATGGAATATTACTGAGCAACCAAAAAATAAAAAAATAACATGCCTTTGCAGCAACATGGATGGAGCTGGAGAAGATCATGCTTAGTGAAATAAGCCAGAAAGAAAAGGAAAAATACCAGATGTTTTACTCACAGCAAGAGTATAACAGACCAGGTGAGAAAATAACAATAATGAACAGCTATATACCAGAGACATTTTATAAGTTAGTGTGGACAATGGGATCAAAAACAGTGGTGGGAGGGAAATGTACTGGATTGTGGTGATGGCACGCAGGTGATTTGATAATGGGAAGCCCATAGGGATCACAACTGAGATGGAAAAAGGCACAAAATGATGCTAAAAAAAAAAACTATTATTTTTAAAAAATGTGCTACAAGTACAACTGCTTATGAGTGGAAGAGAATCATACTGTGGTAACAAGCTTTTTCCTATCATACTCTGTAAATGAAATGAGATAGTGCAATGAAAACAATATTAACTTAGCACCAGGAGTTAGACCTCAATAGTCACCATTATTCTCTCAAGAAGAAAGTATACTTACTTTTCTCGTAGTCGTCGCAGCTCTAACTTTAAGTCTTCATCTTCAATATCTGACTCATTGTCACTACTCATATACGAGGAGTTGAACGAATTACTAAGGCTTTGACTTAGATTCTGGATAGGAAGGCTCTTTGAGCACAACTGCTGGGGGGAGTGTGGACTACCTGAACCATCATCCACATCCCTACTTAGGAAGGCAGCCTCCAGGTCAGAAGACGGCCCATTGAGATGTGAAGGCTCAGAGAGTTCAGGCTTTTCTTTCTTTGGTATCACAGCAGGAAGAACAGTTTGCTCTAAATCCATTAAAGGAGGAGTTGCCACTGGTCCCTCTCTCTTTGCCTCAGCCATCTTGTCTTCAGTTCTTGATACAGAGAAACGACCAACTTTATTTGCTGTAGTTGTCACCTGAAAACGTCCAACCTTGGTAGGCTGACCTGTTTCTGCAACAGGAATTTTGTGGGCACCATCTGGCATATCTGAAGAAATGCCATGGATGGTCATTCCATTAGGCTCTGGCTTCACAAGAGTACTCTCTGGACTACTACTTGATAGCACTGAGGACTCTGAAGTGCTGGATTCAAAATGAACAGACTTTGCATCTTCTGACTTATTTTTACCCTCTCTCTGAGCATCATCCGCTGTTACTGAAACCTGGTAAAAGAGGCAAAAGTGAGATAAAAAAACAAAATTCCCTTATTCAATTTTTAGCATGGCTCATAAAAAAATGGAATCACTTCATTGCTTATCACTGAATAGGCTGATTATCTGTTTAAACAGCCCCTCCATTTTTGACTGTGAAAATAAACTGAAAACCACTACAAAGAACAACAGTATCTGTACTGAGATGTAGATGCTGCATGGCTGGCTAAGCTGAATATAAGATTTACTCTCATTTCTCATGTTATGCAAAAAACTTAGGTTCATGTCTAGTGCAAATATAAGTAATAGATCATGGAATCTTGGAAGTTACTAAGTACTACAAATTTTAAATGACAGTTAAGTTTCAAGAATCGCCACAACTAAATGGCACTAAAAAGGATCCAGATCCTTGTTAGCTCATCTATATACAAACACAAACTCAGTCCAGCTACAAATTATCAATTTGCAAACCAGAAAAAATATGAATTTGCAAACCAGAAAAACATCACCTACTACCCACAACTTCAAGATTATCATGAGAATAAATGGAAAGTAGTTGTGGAAATAGTTAAATTTTTTAAAAGCTTGTTTGGCATGATATACTAAGAGCCAGAAAATGTTCACTTGTTGGAACAGCTGGAAAAGTTACTGGTATCATTTAATGCTGACTCAGTATTTCCACCTCAGAAATTAATCCTAAAAAAATTCCTAAACATTGAAAATATTTTTACATATAAAAATATTTATTGTCACTTTATTTATGTTACTATGCGAGAAATAGAGGAGAATGATTAAGTAAGCTAACTACTAGATAGGGGAAAATGATAAAAAGCTTTAGAAGTGCTATATAAAAGAAATGTAACATATTGGAAATTATGTAACAAAAGGTAGGATATATTTTAATCATATACACTCGCCCTGCTGAAAAAAAAGAGGGCATCAATCATCTTACTTGAAATCTCCCCATCTTAAAAACACCAGCTCCTGAACTAGTTGTGAGGACAGGGCCTTCTGTGGCTTGAGGAACTGGAACAAAGACAAGGAGGAAAACAAATTAGTATTGAAGTTAGCTTCTTTTCCCTTTGACCAGAAATACAGCAAGATAAAACCATGAATCAGACAAAAAAAATTATTAGAGATAAAAAAAATTCCTTACCCTCATCTCCCTCTTTCCCTGCGGTTTTGTCTAGCAAGGACAAAGGGTTATTATTTGCTGTCCTACTAGATTAATTTATCATCAATGTCCTGCCTTTTCCTGTACATATGCACAAATGATATGGCATCATTTGAAGGAATAAAAGTTGTATATAAGTAAAGCAGATTCCCAGGTTACTATAACATTAAAAGATAGTATAAAAATTAGGTAGTGGGCCCTCCCTGGTGGCGCAGCAGGTTAAAGCACAGCATTGAGAAGCTAAAGCCACTTCCTCATGAGTTCGATTCCTGCCTGTCCCGGAGGTGACCACATGGCGTGGCAGACCTCTTCTGACCCACCTGCTGCTCCCCTCAGCAGTGTACCTCTGGCCTGTACCCCAGTTCTGTATGCACAAATAAATAAAAATAAATCTTAAAAAAAAAAAAAAAATAGGTAGTAGCGGTAAGAATTCGGTTATTATTTAATTCAAAGATAAATAAATGGAGGGAACAGTATGTTTTACCTAGAATAGTAAAGATCCATTTTAAAATGAAAACCAGTTATGGGAAGCTAGTTTATGCAAAGTCTTGAAAACAGGGCAGTCAATCGGTAAGTACTTTTGAGCAACTTTATTCTTTTATATTTTAAAGATTTATTTATTTATGCATATAAGATGCTGGGGCTGAGGATTCACCAGAGGTAAGAGTGGACTGACTGAAACACACAGTTGAAGGGAGCAGCAGGTGGGACAGCAGAGGTCTGCTGCACCATTTGGGTCACCTTTCCTGGCCAGGGATCGAACTTGTGCTACAGTGGCAGCAGATAGCTTCATGGTGCTGCACGTTAGCCCGTGGAGCCACCAGGGAGGGCCCCCTTCTGAGCAACTTTAAACTACTTCCTCCTCTTTCTTCTTTTCTAGGAACAGTAATTTGAGTTTAATTCTAATAGTATTAAAACCACACACCAAAATTTATTTTATACAACTGGCAGATTACTGATTTTGATATTTGCATTTTAGTGAGATACCTTTCTTTTAGTGGCTGTGTAGCATTACACTGTATAAATGCATAACGTGTGTGCATAATTTTTTAAAAAGTACATTTTAACAGGACTCCCTACTGATGGATATTCAACAAATTTTAAAAAAAGGATTTATTTATTTATGCATACAGAACTGGGGTACAGGTCAGAGGTGCAGGAGCAGTGAGAGGATTCACAAGAGGCACAGCAGGGAGCCGAACAGGTGGATGGACCAAGTACACTGCTGAGGGGAGCAGCAGGTGGGTCAGATTCACCTTGGAGGTCAACTCCCTAGCTGGGGATTGAACTTGCAACTGAAGTGGCTGTGCCAAGCTTCACAGTGCTGCGCCTTAACCCAATGGGTCACCAAGGAGGGCCCACTAAGCATATTTAAATTATTCAGAACTTCTTGGTATAAAAAAAGGTAGTATAATAAGTATTCTCATTAGAACTATGGAGTAAATACCTAAAAATTAAAGTACTGTATAATTTCCACTGAACATGCTGGTGGACATTACTAAACTGTTATTCAAAGAGGTTGTAAACTTCTGAATTTACCAATGATAGATGAGAAATCTGTCACTTGTAGTATTACTTTACATTTCTGTTATGATGAAGGGAATTAAGTATTTTCATGTCCAAATTTCTTTTTCTGATTCTTTGGATTATGTTTTGACCCATGCTGAACTTATATAAACTTTGTATTAGCAAAACTAGTCCTTTTTGTGGTATGAATACACAAGTCAGTTTTATATTTATGTTTGGGCCAAATATTTTATTTTGCATGCAAATTTAAAATGTTTCTAGGTTGGGCATTAAACTAAACATCTTTTATATCAGGGATCAGCACACTAATTTCCATGAGCCAAATATAGCCCACTGCATGTTTCTGTAAGTAAATTTTATTGGAACTAGTGAAACACTATCATTTATATATTGCCTGTTGTTGCTTTTGGGCCACCGTAGAGGATTTGAGTATTCTGGGAAAGCCTATATATGGTTAGCAAAGCCTAAAATATTTACTGAGCAAAGCCTAAGGTTATTTACTATCTGTTCTCTTACAGAGAAAGTTTGCTGACTCTGCTCTAGACAGTTTAATATTTTCTAATATTGTTTTTCATCTTTGATTCATTTGGAATTTATTTTGATGTAGACTAGTGATCTACCTTTGCTTTTTTCTAGCTGGCTGGCTGGTTGTACTGAACCATTACTGAAACAACCTTTCCTCATTGAATTAGGTGGTCACCTTTTCATACTTTTTATTCCCTTTCAGTCATTCCATTTCTAGACCTTTCTAGTCTAGTTTATTTTAAAATGAGAGTCAATTCAAAAGTAATTGCCTTGAAAATTTAGAGGTCTCCAAGTGAATTTAGCATTTAAGGAAGACATAAAAGTATGCAGATAATCTTATTTTTATATTAGGAAAGTACATTTATGTCTGATTTGCTGAGGATGAATATATCAATATTATAAAGAGAGAGAATTAACATTAAGGGCTATCCAAAAATCACATTAAATAAGTACTGTCTACATTTAATTATTTTCACCTATGAATATAAATTTTTTGGAATGAAAATGTGGCCAAAAAATAAAAGTAAATCTCCTGTGTTCTGTTTGACTGATGAATTGGTAAAAATCAAATCAATGATGTAAGTTGGTATGAACTTATGACTAAGCACAGGTGATAAAATTCTAATACATTTTAGTTGATATGGATAATTAAAAAAAAAGTTGGAAATATGGCTGTTGAAAGAGATTTATCCATGAACATGCCAATTCTAAAGACTCCAAAATAGATAAAATAATGTATTCAATTAAGATTTATGGACATCTTAAGATGTGTTTCTATCACACATGCTATCTAGGTTCATTTTATTTCTATAATATCTGGTGTCACAAAAGTCAAGAGTAAATTAACTTTTATAAATCTATTTGCATGTCCTAATCTCTCATAGTGAGGATGAGGTCCACTTAGAAATAGAGCCTTATGCGAAGAAACCTTCATTAACATCTTGCATATCTCCCTCGAGAAAAAAAAACTACTGTAAAGGAGCTATTCCTTCACATCTTTTATGTGAAGTATCGACATTTTTGGTCATGAAATAAGTAAAAATATTCCTGAAAATAGTCTCAAGTACACCTGCATTCTCAAGAGATGCATGTGAAACAGTAACCTCTACAAACAGTAACCTCTACAATCAATTTATATGGAGGGCTGGAAGTAGTAATTAAGAAGGATCCATCTTACCATCCCTCTGAGGCTGTGCTCCTGCTTCTGTAACTGCTGTTGAAGTCACCATGGACACAGGCTGCAAATTACATAGAGATACCATAAAATCTTTAGTTTTAGTCATTCTTACACTTTTATCTGGCCACTTTTCCTCTGGTCTTTATAAGTGGCAGAAAAGGAAAAAAAAAAAAAGAACAGAAAGATAGTATATATATGAAGAAACATCTATCTGAGGAAATTTCCTATTTTACTTATTTTTTACATCATTTTCTATTTTGTGCATTTTCCCATCTCGGTTGTAATCGTTGTGGACTTCCCACTACCAGTTCATTCGTGTGCCATCACTAAGTTCTGTGCACCTTTCCCACTCCATTTTTTCATCCCATCCTTCTCTCCATCTCCATAAAATATCTCTGGTATGTAGTTGTTTGTTGTTTTTTTTTTTGTTTTTCGCTTTATTACTAATGCTTTTTTTTCTTTCTTATTTTTAACTGGCTAAAATTAAGTGGTACAAAATAAAACAGATTTTTAAAAAGAAGCTTTTAGTCTTAACTCTTCTACATTGCTTAATTTTTTTCACAGACTACGTAGATATTCACAAAAAAATAGTTTTAATCAGACCATTACTGTGTCACAAATCTAAATGAAGTTAAAAAATATAATCTCCAAAGTTTAAATACAAAAAAAAACAAATCTAAATGAAGTTAAAAAATATAATCTTCAAAGTTTAAATACAAAAAAAATTATATCAGAATGATCTGATATAATTCTAACCAGATGCAAGACAAGAAAGCATCTTTCAAATCAAGTATTTCCCATAGCTACAGAACTTACACCAACTGCAGATGTCACTGCAACAGTTTCTGGACTAAGTGTTCTTCTCAACTGAGCGTCAAGATCTTCTAAAGGTTGCTGGGACTGCATGAAAACAACCACAGTTAAGATTAGATTTTGACATATTCAGAGCTACTAGTTATAGCCAATTTATAGAAGACATACTATTTTATGCTTTAGATTAACACAATATAACATCTACCTATTCACTGAATACAAATCTCAACATCCTAAATCCAATTTAGTTAAACTGCTTAGATGATTTACCAGTCTTAAATATTATGTCAATCTCTCAAAATCTTAGAAACTTTTAAGTTTCAAAGTCTTTTCTGCCATCTGTATGTGATAATACTCAATGTGATAGAAAAACTGTCAGTCTTCTCTTTAAAAATATATTCTGCAAAATCAATCAGGATTTATTGACATATTTAGTATATTACATGTTCCCTATTTTTCAGTTTTGTCCATCTTGCTGAGAATGTGTCCTTATGGACTAAAAGATGACATTATCATATACGTCACTATCAGCTGATGTAACTTAACAATTTAACTTTTTATGTACTATAGATGGCAACAAGGAGGAACTAAGATTTGGGCATTCATTCCAGGTGGTCTCAAATCACCCATCCACAATCACCTTTTCCCTTGCCACAATCTCTAACCCTACGTCCATGTGGGCTTCTATAGCCTTATCCTCTGTATGTAGATGCTATCACTGACCAGAGCTCCTCCATATTTTATTTACTGTTTTATATACCTTGAGCTCTCCTAGTTCAAATGCAAGTTTTTATATAAGAGATTTTAAACTAATTTACACACAAGAGATTTTAAACTAATTTACGCACTTTCACATGCAACTTTTGCAAAATCCAGTGGCTGATAAAATGATTCTCTGTTGGAGTCAGTACTCTATTCCTACTATATAATCTGGGGTGGAAGAAGTAGGGATAATTCCCATTTCCAAAGTTAGTAATTTACCTTTTTTTAAAAAAAGAAACATCATACTAAAGTAAATTCCTAATTTAGTCTCAATGCTTATTAGTTTGTCCCAAGTACAATAATGGATACAATGGATTCATACTGAGTATTTTCCTTATGAAAGTTTAACTCAGTGGGCGGGATGGTGGGGTATGAAAGGAAAATAATTTAAATATTGTAGGCAATTCTGACCACCACTCTATCAAATGAGCAGAATGAGTGTAAGAATGAAATCTCACATTCAAGTTGCTGGTTTTAGCTCCTTTACAAGTATCTTATGTTAGCTGAGCGACATGGTTTTTGTATTTTAATTTTTCATGAACATGACCCTTTATCCACCTAAATGTAAGCCTATTGCATGTAAAACATTCAAATAAAAACTTAGCTTCACTGAACTCATAAAAAATGGAATTTTCAATGTAGTAACATTTCCTAGGGAGATGTCAAAATCAATTTCATGACATATAGTATTTTCCTTTTATAGTGGCATAGAACCTAATTTCATACGAAGCTACAATTTTCACTATTCCACCAACGTGTGAATAATAGGAGTTATAGTTATTTAGCCAGTGTCAACTTTGCTATTTTCTTCCTTTATGAGAAATGAAAAAATACTGATAACTTGAATCAACATACCAAACAAAGAGAACTGTGAAGTTCTTTTTTTTATTAAGGTCTGGGGTCATTTACCATACTAATTTAAAAGAAAGTTGTTATTAAGTCAAAATTAAATAGGAGTCAGAAGCCAAGGTCATGCAATGGAGAATTTAAATAAGCTTTGTGAAAGGAAGCCAGGGCACAAAAAGATAACCACCATGTCTTGGGGCACCTGAGTTAGTGAAGGTCCTGGGAAAGGTGGCGGCTGCTCGCTGGGTGGAGTACCAGCTGGAGGTTCAGTACCTACTGGCAGCACCTACAGACATGAAGGGAAATTCAAGTTCATGAGCCACTAAGAGTAAAGAATGTACAAGAAGAGCAAATCAACTAATTTGAATGCAGAAGCCTAGAATAAAATCTATCATTATAATAAGGTATGCTTATCACCTGGTTTATACTCTGGGCTCTATCTTGAAAGAATTTATACCAGTGAAAATATATCAATAAAATGAATAGTAAAATTCTGTAAGAAGTTATTCCCTAAGGAAAACAGTGGAAAAAGGGTACAAGATATGACATGCACACTCATGTCTTGAACCTCTTACTGAGTACAACATTACCTATCAGGCTTTTCATAAAACAAAGACTTTTCTGAGAATTTAAAAACAATTCAGAAATAAGCAAAGGGCAGGTCTGATTGTTAAAAAAAAAAAAAGCACCAAAAAATCTAATGCAATTTGTATTTTATCTTAGTGGAAGCCTCTCTATTATCCTATTATTTAAAAAAAAAAAAAAAAAGCCTCTCATGTGAATGGCAAATGCAGAAAAGATGAGTGCGGCATACAATACAGTAGAAATACAATGTTGTTATTTGGAGAAGACCAGAGGTTAAAGAAGCAGAATGAGAGGAAATCCATCCAGCAGAACTAGAAAACATTTTAGTTATTTTATTCTCAGAATTAAGGTTTTTTTCCTCCTCTTGTCAATGATTTCCAATTTTTTTTTATAAGCCCCAACTTGATCATGTGTAGTTTAAGGAAAACAGAAAATCTGCTTTATCATCACAAAATAGATTGTGAACTGATGTTACTATGAATAATCTACCAACAGGTGCATTTATCTTCCTTTTTGGGATAGAAATTTCTTCAGTGTAGACCAACTGGGAAGAAGTACCTGTATTTTGCCTGATTAATAGTCTGAGAAAACTATAAGATATAATTAACCCGAAAATCCTGCCATATTTCAAAAGCAAAAAGCTCCCATGCTCAATATACACATATCCTAAAATCACCTGCAATATATTTAATCAATGCCACTATAGGCCCAGTGGCTTTATAACCACATTTCTGATTTCCAATTACTGGGAGAGAGTGATGATCATGGTTATCAAATTGTTCTTAAATGAGAATCTTACTGGAGTCTTAGTTAAAGGTGGCTTTGCTGGAACAGTTCCGGGCTTCATTCCTGGTGCAGTGCTGACTGAGGCCGAAACATAACTCACTGGTGTTGAAACTTGCCCAGGTGTGACCACTGGTATTGCTGGCAAACCAGTTGTTCCTATTGGCAAACTGGTTGGTGGTAAGCAAGTACTTGTAGTGGACGTCATGAGTTTGCTTGGTGCAACAGCAGTGGTTGGGATGCCTGGTGTGACAGTGGTCTCTACTACCAGTGATGTTTCTAGTGACACCGGGGCATGCTGAGCTCCAGATGAACCATGTTCACTAAAGAGAGATCGCAGTTTTTCCTCCAGAGTCTTTATATCATCTATCCCAGGAGCTTTGGGTTGTATATCAGCATCCATTTCAGGACAATGCATATGGGGCTGGTTGGGAAGCAAAGCTGGTTGAGGCTGACTATGAATTAGTGTCTGCTGTACAGCAGGCACATTGGCAACAGGTTGTACCATAGGTGGGATACTAGGTACTTGGGGTAATAATGGTGTAGAAGTAGGTCCTGCTGCTTGGGGAAGAGCAGGAGCAGAACCTATATTTGGTGGGATGACCAAGGGATGTAATCCGCCGGGCTGAGAAACAGAACTAGTTACTCCTGCTCCAGGGGAAGAGGAAGATGTTGCTGAGAGGGTCAAAGCCAATCCAGTTGTACTGCTATGAGATGTTTTATCAAGTGAGTGTGCACTAACAACCACTGTTTCAGCTAGAGTAGGAGCAGAGTTACTGCTGCTAAGCTGAAGGGATGGAAATGAAGTGGTGGTTGAAACAGAAGGTAATGTGGCTCCCCCAGTCGTAGTGCCTGCTGTCTGCTGAGATAATACAGGTGGAGGCTTAGCACCTGGGGCAGCAGCACTGCCCACTGCAGAGGCTGACGGTGTTGAAACTTGTACAGAGGGGTAAGTGCCTATACTAGAAACAATGGTCCCAGATATGGGAGCCTGAACTGATTTGGATGTTGATACTGAGACAACTGCAGGTACTGTGATGCTTGTTACCACACTGGAAAGTACTGGTGATTCAGATGCAGGTGGTATAAGAAGACCACTTGAAGTTATTACACATGTGCTGGTGGCAGCCCCAGCAACCCCTTTTTCATTGGGTACTGTAATATCAGATTGATTTACTGATGTGGACATGTCACTAAGAGGGCTGCCAGTTGCAGGGACTAATACTGAAGATGTGGCTGCTGTTGGAGTTGGAGCTCCAGCAATATTACTCATTGCTGAAGGAGGTACTACTGGAAATGTTGGTCCTGTCTGACTAAAATTGGGAGGTGCTGTATTGGGTCCTTCTGTCATTTGGGTATGCCTAAGTTCAGAAAAAGCTTGCTGCAGACTAAGGGATGAAGCAGAGTGAGACAAGTTCATTCCAGGTGTTGAAGCAGCAACTGAAAGGAAAAACAGTATGTTTAGAATCAGTTCATTTAAAAAGGGGAGTAATCAAAAGAATGTCCTAATAATCTATTTTTGGATTACAAACAATGCCACATAACAAGGCTTAAAATCTCTCCAAGGAAATGAAAAGGCTCTAAACTCAAAGTTAAACAGCAATTTCATCAAAATAAACTTGCATGAGGGAAAATACAGAGTACCTCAAAGCATATACAATATGCTTTGTATTAAATGGAATATTAAATGGAGAAACCAAACACAATACTGCATCTACATAGTATCTTCTAGTATATTTAGTATGGCCACTTTTTTGGGGGCTATTTTTCTCTAATACTCTCTACACATCATTTCTTTCCATCCTTCATATAGTTTATCTGCTGGTCATAATCTCAATTTTTCTCTTTATTTTCTATGCCATCACTTGAACTACAGTATATAGACCACACTTGGAATATTGCAGAGAAACTGCAGAATTTACACAAGTATGTGTACAAAAATTGCCTTACCTGTATCTGATATCTCACTGTTGAAAATTTTTGATTCTCGTAATCGACTTTCTGGCACAGGACTCACTATAAACCGTCTCCCAGCAGAATGAACAACTTGAGTTAAAGAACTAGTAGTAATGCCTGGTTAAAAAAAACAGCAGACCACTTACAATGTGTCTCATCACCCCCC